CAACAAGAAGGGTGATGCAGACAGCAGCAGCAGTATCAGCAGTTCTGTGTGGGTGCGTGTACCACTACTGATTGTGGTTACACTGGCCTGTATTCTTGTGTGCTGATTGTAGTGATTGTGGTGGTGTGACTCAGGTCATCCTTTGTTTTCTTTTTCTTTTTGCATACATCCCTACAGTCTAACTAATCTTCCACCTGTTGGTAATTTTTTTTTGCTTTATTTTTCTGTTTTTTGTTCGTTTTTATCCTATATATGCTACTCCATTGTGTGTGTGTGTGTTTGCGCTACTGTGGGCTTTTCTTTCCACCAATGACAGCTTGCCTTGTGCAATGAGAGAAAAAATATTTATAACAGATACACTTTTATACATATATTCATAATTAAGTTTACAACGTTTTACATTGATGGTAGTTGTATTTGGGCGTTTACTGTAGAACATGGGCTACTTGTTAATTTCTTTTTGTTTGATTTACCTTCGTTTGGATTGTTTTGTCCAGAGAGGGAAGGTAATAGCAAATATACATATAAATATATATATTGATAATTTCCTATACGTGACTATGGAAGGATGTACTTTTGTAGTACTGTATGTGCTGTGGCAGCTGATTCTGTTTTTTTAATTTTTTTTGCTTCTTTGATTTCAGGTTGGGGGTCCTCCGCAGTACAGTGGGTTGTGTGCATTCTCTTTTTTCTCTGGAGTCGTACTGATGATTGGTACTGTAAACATGGTTTTTTGTGTGGGACTATTTTCTCTTGTTGTTGTTACATTTTGTATTATTACTCTGCTGCACTGTTGTAATCTCTCCTATTTATTTTCCCTTTCCTGTGTTCTTTTTCTTTATTGTTTCAGCGTTATTATTCTTCCTTTACACATGTAGATGCATCCAAGACGGTTGAGGATGAACTGTCATCCTGAAGGTGGTATAGTGATATCCGGAGACCTTGTGGTGTTTACTGGAGACACTCCCATTCCATTCTGTTGGGCTGCAAACCTAAATGCAAGCTGAAGCATTGGGCTGATGGCATAAAGGAACACTGCAAGTAAAACTATAGCCAATGGGTGGTTTCTCTTTGGGTGTATTTGTGGTCTTTTACCACTATATATACTGCAGGAGGGCCGGTGGGGGAGAGTCAGGGAGGTTGAATAGAGTTCACACAAGAAATATATGGACAGCTGCATTGCTAAACTGTGGTTCAGGTATTTTTATTCCTTCAAGGCTGAATCTTTTTACGATGGCCATAGAGGGTGGGGCAAGTAAGAATATGCTCCAGAGTATCTTTGCATATACTGTGGTTGAACTCTTGTGATGATATTCTCTAATGTGAACATTGAGGGGTTTTGCTTTCAAGAGAAGTGTAGAGCGATAATGAGGATATTGGACCTCTTATTCTCTCTCTCTCTCTCTCTGTGGTATTTTAGAGTTTTTGTGGTAACTCTAATTAACTGGAACTCTTTCTATGTTTGCATGTGTTTTGTATTTACGTTGGGTATTGCTGGAATTATACTGATTGGGATTTCCATCTCATGTTACATTCTTCAGATTTGAGGGGATGAATAGTCTCATTAAGGACTGATAATGGTCCTGTTCTTGGTTTTGTTTTGTTTTTTCGTGGGCTTGGTCTGGTGGAGTGTTGTTCTTTTTCTGTGAAATCTCTTTTTTTAGTGGTGTGTTCTCTTCCTTTTCTCTCTTTATGAGTATCTTTATTGACGGTTTGTTTTTACTATGAATTTCTCTTCTTCTGTGGTTCTTTGGATAGTTCATTATACCCCAAGAACAAGAAAGCTAACTCCTGACATGATGTTGTTGCGCCGTTTCTTTTATCTTCTGGCTTTGCTTCTAAGTGTGGCAATTGTCTGTGTGGCGGCTGGCGCCACTAATGATCTTGAGAGAATGGCTGCTGAGCATCAGAAACATGTGGATGAGATTAAGAAAAAGACTGCTGACGTGGAAGCCAAGTTTAATGCTCAGCTTGGTAGTATTCGTACTCCACCTGAAGCGACTCGTATTGCTGCTGATAATGAGAAGGCGCTTCGTGAAGCTGGCATTACGATTTCTGGTGAAAATGGTGGAGCTGCAGGAGCGAAGAGTGAAGGGAAGAATGCAGCCAGCGTCAGTTCTGTGTGGATGAGTGCGTCTCTACTGATTGTGGTTACACTGGCCTTTATTCTTGTGTGCTGATTGTAGTAGTGGTGGTGATGTGACTCAGGTCATCCTTTGTTTTCTTTTTTCTTTTTTGCATACATCCCTACAGTCTAACTAATCTTTTACCTCTTGGGATATACTCTTTTTTGTTTATTAATGTTATTGTGTTTTGTGTGTTTTTGCTCTCTCTGTGTGTTTATCCTATAATTATTATTATTGCTACTCCATTGTGTGTGTGTGTGTTCTTGGAGACTCTCTCTCTGTGTGTGCTTGGGCTTGCACTGTAATAATGATGAACTGCTTTTTGCATTGAGAGTGAAAAGAAATAATAATAACAGATGGATTTATATTTATCATTGTGTATTTATACATATATAGACTTACACCCATATTTGGTGTATATTTCTGTGTTTACTGGGTAAATTAGGCTAATGTTTAATATCTGTTTTGTTTTTTTGCTTGATGATTTTGCTGAGTCGTTGTGTGTTTTGCCCTGTATCGTATGATGATTGGCTTTTTTTTTCGTATTCTTACTGGGTTTACTTTGCTGATATGTTTTCTGTAACTGGTTTGTGTTTTTTTTACATTGTTGTGTTTCTATGTTGTCACTGTGTTTGGATTGCATTTTTTATCTCTCATATTGTTTTTCTTTTATCTAGTCCATTGCTTTTAAGCGAAACCCACTATAGCTATTATGACTGTGAGGGAAATGATGCGCCACGTGGTGTGTTTACTGGTTCTTATGGTGTGCTGCGCCTATGGAGGCGTGTCAGCTGATCAACCTTCCACTGAACTTGGTCGGTCTGTTGTTGAAGCAGCTCCACGTGTTCTTGAACAGTCTGACTTCTATCCAGGTATGAGTGGACATGCTGATGGAGTTAGCTCTGGTAAACCTGCCGTTGGTTTTAACCCAGGCCAACCAGGTGTTGTTAATAGACCCGAGACTAAAAGTTTACCATCTGATTCTCATCACAATCCTGCATTTCCTCTTACTACTTGCCCCCAGATTGGTAATAACAAAGGTCAAGTGTTTGGTGGAATCCCTGGTGCTAACGGTGTTTCCTGTGATCCTGGTGTTCCTGGCAGTGTTGGTGCTGTTGCTGGTCCTCCTGGTGGTATTTCCGGCGGTCAAAGTACTTCTGCTGGAGCAGTTCTTGGAACCACTGGAGTTTCTTCTGAAAATCTTAAAGAACATACTGCTCCTGGTGTTTTTGCTGACCCCAAATTTGCTGCCAATCGTCAAGTAACTCTTCGCTCGAAATTTGATAATTTTAGTCAACCACCGAAAGTTAATGTGAAACCAGGCGACTACATTATCAGATATTACCCTGAAGCTCCTACCGCTACTAAAAACACTTCTGGGAAACCGGAGCCCAAAACTGTTCCCGTTCTTGATGTTGATCCCAAGCTTGGCGACTCTCTTAATTTGACTCTTCAGTCTCAGCCTGATGGTGGTGTTGCTTCTCAGAGAAAAGTTAAAGGGAAACCAAGTCTTGGTGCTGGGCTTAAACCCGGTGTTGGTCTTAATACTGCTAATGCTGGCGATGCTCCTGGTATTACTCCAGCTGAACAACCTAAACAATTCAATCCTAAGTTTCCAGGTGTGCCTGAAGCTATTCTTAATGTTGGTGGTGCTCCTACTATCGCTCGTAATCGTGGTTCCGGTCCCATACCTCCTCCTACTCCTGAAGTTTCCCAGCGTAATGAAGATGTGTCTGGCCCTACGAACACACATCATGAAGAGAATAATAATCAGGCAGAGAATATTGAAGCACCTGCACAGAGTGAATCAACGAAGGTCACTTCTAATGCACCAACTAAGGTGACATCACCCGCAATGCCAACAATACTGCAACCTCCTACGCCTGCAAAGAGCGAGACCAAACCACCCAAGAAGCGTAAGGCAGACAGCAGCAGCAGTATGAGTTCTGTGTGGGTACGTGTACCACTACTGATTGTGGTTACACTGGCCTGTATTCTTGTGTGCTGATTGTAATGGTGGTGGTGTGGTGTGGTGTGACTTAGGTCATCCTTTGTTTTCTTTTCTTCTTTTTGCATGCATCCCTATAGTCTAACTAATCTTCCACCTGTTGGGGATTCTCTTTTTGTTTTTTGTTTCTTAATGTTAATGTGTTTTGTTTTGTGTGTTTTTGCTCTCTGTGTTTATCCTATAATATTTATTATTGCTACTCCATTGTGTGTGTGTGTTCTTGGAGACTCTCTCTGTGTGTGCACCTGGGCTTGCACTGTGATAATAATGATGAACTGCTTTTTGTAGTGAGAACGAAAAGAAATAATAATAACAAATGAATTTATATTTATAATTGCGTATACACATATAGACTTACACCCATAGTTGGTGTATATTTCTATGTTTACTGTGTAAATTGGGCTAATGGTTAATATCTTTTTGTTTGCTTGTGGTTTGCTTGGTGGTTCAGCCTTTTTTGATATATTTATGAGTGTGGGCCTTTTTTTTTTTGTTTTTACTCTTACTGAGGTTATTGCGCTGTATTGCATTCTTTCACTGGTAGGTTTTACTTTTACGATGTGAGTTTCCATAATGGTAATCGATTTTTGTGTCCTAACATGTTTGACACTTCATTTATTTTCTTTTTGGTTGTCTTTCTTTCTAGATCAGTGTTTTTGCGCAATCCAAACCCTTGTATCTCTCATGATGATGATGGGCCGTGTGATGTGTGTGTTGGCCGTTGTGCTGTGCTGCACCTGCGGGTATACCATGGCGGCTGCTGCTGCTGCTGTTGATGTGGAGTGGGATGATTTTCTTAATGATACAAGCAATAAGTATAAGAAGTGCAAGGAAGATCCCAATCATAAAGTTGATGGAATAAACTGTGAGGAATTTGGATTCGCTCCGAAGGCTGAAAAAACACCTCTAACACTGCCTCCCACGAGAAATGAAGCGGAGGCACGCCCCACCATTGGAAGAGGTGGTGATGACACTGAATCGCAAGCTGCAGAGGGAATTGATCGACAAGGCCAACAGCCAGGATCGAATCCAACAAGAACAGAAAACGATGCGGGAGAACGTGAACCGGAACCAACAGAATCATCGAAAAGACCTGGTAACGTTGAGGTGCCACAAGGTGAACAAGGAGCATCGAGCAGCACAGATGATAACAGTACAGCTGGCAACTCCAATGCTACCCAGCAACAATCTCCTGTAACTGTTAATACGACTGCCACATCAGGCACACATGAAACCAATTCCACTACTCCCCAGAGTCCCGAGAGCAATGTCACTGATGCACCAACCACCACTCCATCTCCTGTTCCTGTAACCGACACACAAATCAGCAACATCACCTCCGCATTACAGAACAGACCCAATGTTGACAGCAGTATCAGTCCTGTGTGGATGCGCAATGCAGCACCGCTGTTGATTGTGGCTGTGTTGTTCTCCGCTACCGTGTACTGAACGGTGGGACTCATCTGAGGACAAATAATAATAATGGTTATCCTAACATAATCATAATTGCGTACATCCACCATGGATGAATAAATTAATAATCTGTTTGCTAGCTTTCTCTTTTAATTCGAATATCTTTTCTTTTACTTTTGTGTGTGTCTTTTCTTTTTCTAATAATTCCATTACTTGCTTTTCCCGTTATGTGAGTGCAGAAAACTGGGCTGTTCTGCTTACTGACGGTATACATTTTTTGCTAGTATACACAGATGTGTGTGTGTGTGGAGTAATTTTATACAAAAACTAGAGCCATGGGGTATTGTGTGTGTTCTTGGACACACTCTCTGCGTGTGCCTGGGCTTGCACTGTAATGATGATGAAGAACTGCTTTTTGAGATTTGGAAGAAAAGAAATAATAATAACAGATGAATTTATATTTATAATTGCGTATATACACAGATAGACTTACACCCATAGTTGTTGTATTTCTATGTGTTTACTGGGTAAATTGGGCTAATGATTAATACATGTTTCTTTGTTTGCTTTAGTGTGCGTGGGTCATTCTGTGCTTTTGCCCTGCACGGTTTTGGTAGTCTGCTTTATGTAGAGCAAAGAAAAAAATAGTAGTTATTACAATTTGTATTCTTAATTACTTGACCAAATCAGCATACTCAGTGGTCTGTGAGTTATTTTGTGCGGTTGGTCCTCTTCTTAATTTGTGTTTTTTTTATTTTTTCTTGGGCGCTGTGTACTTTCTCCTGCATTGTTGTGTGTTGGAGTGTTTTGTGGGGAGAAAAAATAATAAGGAATACATAAGTGTATTTATAATTGTGATTGGTTCGACCAGAAGAGAGACACTGTTATTTATTTCTGTGCTTATTGTTCTTGTTGGTCGTTTTCATAAATTTTATTTTTCTTTTTGGGGGGTTAATTGGGATTATCTGTTTGGTAATGGGTACTGTGGGCGTTTTTACTTTAATTTGGGCACTATCTGAGTTATGGTTAGCAATTTCTCTTTTGTCATTGTGTTGCAATAGTTTTCTGTTGTTTGATGTTTATCTCATTATCTGTGTTTCTGTTTCTCCTTTCTTCTTTATTTTTTTTTGGACCACTGAATTGATATACAGTAACACCAACAAAAAAAGAAATGATGGCCGTACGACGTGTGCTTTGTATTCTGACGATCGCACTGTGTTGTGTCTGCAGTGTTAAGGTAGCGGCTCAAGCTGATGGGCAACTTGATGGCGCGGCTCTTCAGACGACTTCTAGTGATGAGAACCATGATGAGATGACAAAACACTTGGAAGATACTGTGGAAGAAACACAGTATGGGTCAGGAAAAGAAGCAAAGAAACCGTGCGAAAGACTACCATCCGCGGGACGGTCACCTCCAGAAGCTGAAAAGGTACAGGAAGAAGAAACTGAAAGCCGTACAGGTCTGCCATCAAACACGAAACAAGCGGTAGGTGCTTCTGCTGCTGGTGCTCCTCGTCCTGCTGCAACACCACCTGCTGATGTTAAAGCTTGTCCTCCAGGCGAGAATGATCCTCCGTGTACTCCTGGCGGTGCTGGATCTGACGCTGCTAATGCTGAGTGTGTGAAACCTCCTTCTGGGGCGGAGAGTTGCCCTACCAATGTTGATGAAACTCAAGAGAATTGCGCTTCTGGTGGGTCTGGTTGTAAAAACCAAACACAAGAGAATCATGCTAAATCAAATGAAAATCATGGAAATAATGGTAACGAACATCGAGGTCCCGATGGTGAAAGCCGTCTTGAAAGTGACCGCGGTTCTGTTTCTGATTTACAGCGTGGCGATCGTGCTGAAGCACCTGCTGTTGTTACTCCTGGAGAAAAAGAGACTCCGGAAACTCCAAGTAGAAACGGTTCACAAGATGCTGGTGCTTCTCCTGCAGTGGGTAGTAGCGATGCTACTGCCGCTGACGGTCAAACTGAAAGAAATGGCACCAGTGCAACCGAAGAAGGTGGATCTAAACAGGGAAGTGAAACAGCACAACCTTCTCCTTCTTCCAACAATTCGGCCACAGGGAGTGATGTTGGTTCTGATGCTGCATCACCTGAGAATGGCACTTCATCTGCAGAGAGTGAGTCATCAAATAAACAACAAGGTGCGGGAAATGCAGACACAGAAACCACCACCACAACAACAACAACCACACTTCCTCCTGAACTCACAAACAACAAGAAGGGTGATGCAGACAGCAGCAGCAGTATCAGCAGTTCTGTGTGGATGCGTGTACCACTACTGATTGTGGTTACACTGGCCTGTATTCTTGTGTGCTGACTGTGGTGGTGGTGGTGTGACTCAGGTCATCCTTTGTTTTCTTTTTTGCATGCATCCCTACAGTCTAACTGATCTTTCACATGTTGGGATTTTCTTTTCTTTTTTTGATTCTTCATGTTAATGTGTGTTGTGTGTGTTTTTACTCTCTGTGTTTATCCTATAATTATTATTATTGCTGCTCCATTGTATGTGTGTTCTTGGAGACTCTCTGCGTGCGTGTGGGCTTGCACTGTAATAATGATGATGAACTGTTTTTTGCAGTGAAAGGAAATAATAATAACAGATGAATTTATATTTATAATTGCGTATATATACACACATATAGACTTACACCCATAGTTAGTGTATGTTTCTATGTTTACTGGGTAAATTGGGCTAATGTTTAATATCTTTGTTTGTTTGCTTGATGATTTTGCTGGGTGGTTCAGCCTTTTTTGAGATATTTGTGAGTGTGGGCATTTTTGTTTTTGTTTTTACTCTTACTAAGGTTATTGCGCTGTATTGCATTCTTTAACTGGTAGGTTTTACTTTCACGATGTGAGCTTCCATAGTGGTAATTGATTTGTGTGTCCTAACATGTTTGATACTTCATTTATTTTCTTTTTTTCTTTTTGGTTGTCTTTCTTTCTAGATCAGTGTTTTTAAGTGAAACAAACTATTATCTCTCTCTCATGATGATGCGCCGTGTGATGTGTGTGTTGGCCGTTGTGCTGTGCTGTGCCTGCGGGTATACCATGACGGCTGCTGCTGCTGTTGATAATGACAGTCCCAGTGGCCGTGGTGTATTCCGTGGGGCTGTGGAGGTGTCGTGCGGGGCCGGCGGTGCGCTGCGTGTACGCCCCGCTGCTGAGAGCGAGTGGCTTACATGCGGTGCGGGCAGCCGTGTGTCTGCATGTGACAAGTACGCAGACCTCTGCCGCCAGCGTACCGCAAGAACAACAACAACAACAACAACCATTGCTAATGCTGGACAGCCAAAGGCGGTGATGGTCGTTCTCTATAATGATAGTGATTTATGGTCTGGTTGGAGTGATTTTCATCATTCAGTGAAGGCTTATCATGATAAGCAAAAGGCAAAAAAAATCGAAAAGGAAGGTGTGTATCATCCTGGTGAAAGGGAACCCGTTCAATCAATTTATAACTGTATGGCAAAAGGACTTCCTTATAATGGGACACCGTGTAAAGGAACGGAAGCGACTGAAGGAAACAAGCAGAATAATACAGTTGCTGTTCAGCAGCAGTCTCAAGAACAAGTAACTCATATTGGGCAAACACAAGAATCGTCAGAAAAGAGTTCAAGAACAGAAGCCTCAACCAGATCCTCAGGAGACAATAATACAGTGCAGCCTTTAACACCAAGAGATCAACACACCGACAATGCTCAATTGGGTGCTCCTTCTCAAGATGGTGCCCCGCATGACACTCCACTCAGCACAAACACAACATCTGCCGATCCAGTTCCCACTGCCACAGAAAGCTCCAACGAAACCGATACCATTTCTCAGCCGAGCCCCGTAAATACTGTCAGTGAAGAATCAACCGTGACTCCATCTCGTGACTTTAATCTTACCCAGCATTCTACTGCAACTCCAGGTACGACTGCAGTATCAGGCTCAGAAAAAACAAATACCACTTCTCAGCCGAGCCCCGTAAATACTGTCAGTGAAGAATCAACCGCCACTCCATCTCGTGACTTTAATCTTACCCAGCATTCTACTGCAACTCCAGGTACGACTGCAGTATCAGGCTCAGAAGAAACAAATACCACTTCTCAGCCGAGCCCCGTAAATACTGTCAGTGAAGAATCAACCGCCACTCCATCTCGTGACTCTAATCTTACCCAGCAATCTACTGTAACTGTTAATGCGACTGCTGCGCCAGACTCAGAAGAAACCAATTCCACTACTCCACAGAGTCCCGAGAACACTACCACAGAAGCACCACCCAGTACTTCATCTCCTTTACCCAATCCAGAGATCAGCAGCAACATCGCCTCCACTGTACACAATAAGGCTAATGTTGACAGCAGTGTCAGTCCTGTGTGGATGCGCACTGCAGCACCGCTCTTGATTGTGGCTGTGTTGGTCTCCGCTACTGTGTACTGAACGGTGGAACTCATCTGAGGACAAATAATAATAATGGTTAAAATAACATTATCATATTTGCGTACATCCCTCATGGGTGAATGAATTAATAATCTGTTTACCAGCTTTTTCTATTAATTCGAATTTCTTTTCTTTTACTTTTGTGTGTGTGTTTGTGTTCTTTTTCTAATAATTCCATTAATTGCTTTTCCCGTTGTGTGTGCAGAAAACTGGGCTGTTCTGCTCACTGACGGTATACATCTCTTGCTAGTACACACAGATGTGTGTGTGTGCAGTAATTTATTACAAAAACTAGAGACATGGGGTATTGTGTGTGTGTGTTTGGCTCTCTCTCTTATTTGGGTATTGTGGGATGTTCTCTTTTTCTTTTCTATTAAGGGATACATATTATTATACAAGCTGTATATTCCTTTTTGTTGGTTTACTGTGCAGTTGCTGATTCTTTCTCTTCCACTGTGAGTATTGGTGTATGTTTGTTTGTTGTCATCTCAATTCTTTCTTTTCCTTCTTCTTGTATCAGTCTTTTGAAGTAATCAACAACAATGACAAAGACTGTAATGGTAAGGTGTTACCTGTTCTGTTTATTAACTCTTGCACTCTGTTGTGCTTCTGGGTTAGTATGGGCTGATAGTCCTAAAGCTTCTGATGCCCTTATTAAACCTTCTACTGTTGGTGTTCCTTCTCTTGTTCGTCGTGCTATTGCTGCGTTTGTTCTCTATTCTGAGGATGATAAGTGTCATTTTGGGAATCGTGATGGGCAGGATGAAGAGGTCGATGTTGCTGTTCAGCCTCCAGATATTGCTAGTGATGCTTGCACTTCCGGTACCAATGAAAGAAATTGTCCTTCTTTAGTTCGAGCTTCTTCTTCTCGTTCTGTCACTGAAGATACTGCTCCTGGTCCTGTCAATCTTCAGGGTGGCAAATCACAACAACAATCTCATTCTTCTGAACATCCTCTTCAGGACACTACAGAAGTTGTCACTTGCATTCCTACTTCTTCTCTCTCTTGTCCTTCTACACCGCCAAAAACGACAGCCCCATCTGTACTGAAAGGACCTGATCCAAATGGTCCTTCTGTTTCTGAGGAAGCACATTCTGTTGAGGACAAACCCGGTACTCCAGCTATTGGTGATGCTGCCTCAACCACTTCTGTGAAGGAAGACCGTCAAGGTAAGAATGGTGATGCTCGTGAAGCCGATGTAGCTATTGCTGCTCCTGCACCTGAAGTAGCTGCAGGTACAACTGAAGGCAGGGACAACAGTGCAGCAAGTGGGAGTACGGATGAAGCGAAAGTTGCAGGAGCACAACCCAGTTCTCCTTCTCGTAACAATTCACTCTCAGGAAGTGATGGAGGTTCTGCTGCTGTAAATACTGAGAACGGCACTACACCTGCAGAAAGTGCTTCACCAAGTGACCAAGCAGATAATGTGGGAAATACAGACACCACCACCAAAACCACCACCACCACCACAACAACAACAACAACAACAACACTTCCTCCTGAGACTGCAAACAACATGAAGGGTGATACAGACCGCAGCAGCAGTATCAGCAGTTCTGTGTGGGTGCGTATGCCACTACTGATTGTGGTTACACTGGCCTGTATTCTTGTGTGCTGATTGTGTGGTGTGAGTCAGGCCATCCTTTGTTTTCTTTTTCTTCTTTTTTGCATGCATCCCTACATTCTAACTAATCTTCCACCTGTTGGGATTTCTCTTCTTCTTCTTCTTTTTATGTTTCTTAATGTTATTGTGTTTTGTGTGTGTTTTTGCTCTCTCTATGTTTATCCTATAAATATTATTATTGCTACTCCATTGTGTGTGTTGGGCTCTCGTGTGAGTTTTCGTTTGCATTCTGGTGATTGGTTTGCTTTGACCAAGGAAATTAAAAGAAAGTGAAGAACGGAACATGAATACGCGTAATAGCTTTTGGACCGTTTAGAATGAGTTGTTCTTTCTTCGTGTACTTGGAAAACCTATAATTCATTTTCTTTTTTTGCAGTTGGTTTCCTGAGTGATGTGCTTTATGTGGTAACCGTGTGAATATGGTTCCCCTCTTATTTATAATATTACCGAGTTTTCTTAGGTGATATGTTTTCTGTTACTGGTTTGGTTTTTATTTTTACATTATTGTGTTTTTTTTTTTTTTTTTTGTGTTACTGTGTTTTGATTACATTTTTAATCTCTCATATTGTTTTTTCTATTATCTAGTCCCTTGCTTTTAGGCGATCTCCATTATTATTACTATGAGGAAAACGATGCGCCACGTGGTGTGTTTACTGGTTCTTATGTTGTGCTATGTAGGCGTGTGTGTGCTGGCCAATCAAGTTCAATCTGGTCCTACACAATTACCCGTTGAGAATCCTGCTGCCCTTGGAGTGCAAGATAGGACTGGTGTCACCCATTCCGTAACTGGTGGTACTTCTCCAGCTGCTGGGTTTTTTCCTGGTGTTTACCCAGGGACGCATGATCCTCATGGTAAGCCTGATGTTAATGCTATTGTGAAGAAATTGGGGCTTGATGGTGCTGTGAGTATTCCTGCTGATAAAAATAAGGGGTCTCACCTTAATCCTGCTGATCCTGAAGTTCTTTGTCCAAACCCTGCTGATAAGAATGCCCCTGTTGCTTGTGCTCCTGGTGTTCCAGGAAAAGTTGCTGGAGGTGTCAAAAAAACTGCTGGACCTACTGGAAAACCACAGAATGCTTTAGGTCATAGTGACGATCAGCATGCTCTTATTGAAGTTGGCGGTGTCCGTGGTGCTGGTGCTGAAGCTCGAAGTCATACTGCTAATCATCATACTGCTCTGGTTCCTGACCCCGACCGTGCTACTTCTCTTAATTTAACTCTTCGTTCCCAATTAGATGCTCCTCCTCCTGCTCAAAAAAATACTGATGAAGAGGGAACTGGTGCTGCTCTCACTCGTTCGGATCCTCACTCTACCCCTTCTCCTGAAGAAGCTTCTGCTTCTTGTGTTCGCCCTGGTGAAACTGTTAAGCCTGGAGAAAAGCGTGTCCGCTGTGCTCATGGACCTGGAATCGTTATTGTCCCCAAAGCAAACGAATCTCTTAATTTAACTCTAAAGACAGAACCCGATGCTGGTGTTGGTGAACTAACAGGTGTTAAAGAGAAGCCTAAAGTAGGGGCAGGTCTCCAACCTCGTTTTTCTGGTCCAGAAGTTCCCGATGCTAATGGATTTCCTGGTGTACCTGATGCTATTCTTAATGTTGGTGGTGCTCCTTCTGTTGCTATTAATCGTGGTCCTGCTCGTCCTCCTCGTGCAGATGTTGTTGTTTCCGAGAGTAGTGAAGAAGTCTCAGCTCCCACGAAAACGCAACCTGAAGAGAATGATAATCAGGCAGAGAATATTGCATCACCTGCACAGAGTGCACCAACAAGGAACACTCCCAATACACCCACTAAGGTGACGCCACCCGCAATGCCAACAATACTGCAACCTCCTATGCCTGCAAAGAGCGAAAACAAACTACCACCCAAGAAGCGTAAAGCAGACAGCAGCAGCAGTATCAGCAGTTCTGTGTGGGTACGTGTGCCACTACTGATTGTGGCTGTGTTGTTCTCCGCTACTGTGTGCTGAAAGGTGGGACTCACTTGAGAAAAATAATAATAATGGTTAAACTAACATAATTATATTTGCGTACATCCCCCATGGGTGAATAAACTAATAATCTGTTTATCAGCTTTATCTTTTAATTGCAATATCTTTTCTTTTACTTTTTTTTGTGTGTGTTCTTTTTCTAATAACTCCATTACTTGCTTTTCCCGTTGTGTGTGTTTGCAGAAAACTGGGCTGTTCTGCTCACTGACGGTATACATCTCTTGCTAGTTCACACATGTGTGTGTGCAGTAACTTCATACATAAACTAGAGCCATTGGGTATTGTGTGTTTTATTGGACACTCTCTGTGTGTGCTTGGGTTTGCACTCTGATGATGAACTGTTTTTTGCAGTGAGGGAAAACAGGAAAGAATAATAACAGATGAATTCATATTTGTGTTTATAATTGCGTATATATACATACACATATATAGACTTACACCCATAGTTGGTGTATATTTCTATGTGTTTACTGTGTAAATTGGGCTAATGGTTAATATCTGTTTCTTTGTTTGTTTGCTTGTGATTTGCTGGGTCATTCTGTGCTTTTGCCCTGCACGGTTTTTGGTAATCTGTTTTATAAGAGCAAAGAAAAAAATAGTAGTTATTACAATTTGTATTCGTAATTGCTTTAACAGACCAGTATATTCAGTGGTCTGTGAGTTATTTTTGTGCAGTTTGTGTTGTTAATTTGTGTGTTTTTCGCTTTCTTTGCTTAGGCACTGTGTGCTTTCTCCTGCATTCTTGTGTATTGGAGTGTTTTGTGTAGGGAGAGAAAATAATAAGGAATACATATGTATATTTGTAAATGTGCTTGGTCCTACAGGAAGGGGCATTTTGATTTATTTCTGTGCTTTACTCTTCTGATGGTCGTTCTCTTTAATTTCTTTTTTTTTTCTTTGAGGGGTTTATTGGGATTATCTGTTTGTTTTTGGGTATTGTATGCGTTGTTCCTTTAATTTGGGCATTATATGAGTCATGATCGCAGCTTTCTGCAATGTGTGTGCTTCTGCTGTAATTGTTGAGTGTTGTTTTATTTGGTAATGTGTTCTCATTTTGTGTTTTCTTTACATTGATTCACTTTGTTTCTGGTTTTCTCTCTCGTGTTGTTTTTTCTGTAAATGATTGAAGTAAGACTACTACAAGAAGTATTGTAATGGTAATGATGATGCGCTACGTGCTGTGTATCCTCGCTCTCCTGCTCTCATGTGCGTGTGTGCACGTCCTCGCTGAAGAAGTGCCTGCCGCCGATCTTTCCGACCAAGTCCCTGATACGGAGAGTGAGACAAAGTGCCCTGATCCTTCTGAAGCTCATAAGCCATGTGTGCAAAAGCCCGAAGTTCCTCCTGTTACTGTACCTGAGGCTCCAAAAGAAGTTGTTCCTGAGAAAAAAGTACCTGTCACTCCTCCTAAAAAACCTGAAGTTCCTTCTGTTACTGTACCTGAGGCTCCAAAAGAAGTTGTTCCTGAGAAAAAAGTCCCTGGTGCTGATGATGTCAATTGCCCTGAAGGTACTCAGCGTACTGAAGGTAAGACATGTCCTCAATCTGAAGTTCCTAAAGAAGTTGTTCCTGAGGAAAAAGTGCCAGTTCCTCCACCTGCTAGGGAACAGGAAGTTCCTGAAGACCCAGAATCTGGGAGCAGCAGCAACAGTGCACCAGGTGACATTGAAGCAACACAACAGCAACAACAACAAGACCAAACAGCTGATAATGTCTCTGCAGGTGCAGGTCAAAGTGGAAGTGGAGCAGGACAACAATCATCACCGTCTACCATTACTTCTGACACTGGGAGTGATGCTGCAAACGCTGGGAATGACAGTACAACAACGGGGAGTGAATCAACAGGTACCCAAGAAGGTGCTGCAGATAATACAGAAACCTCCACCAACACCACCACAACAACAACAACAACAACACTTCCTCCTGAAGTCACAAACAACAAGAAGGGTGATGCAGACAGCAGCAGTAGTATCAGCAGTTCTGTGTGGGTGCGTGTACCACTACTGATTGTGGTTACACTGGCCTGTATTCTTGTGTGCTGATTGTAATGGTGGTGTGGTGGTGGTGTGACTCAGGTCATCCTTTGTTTTCTTTTTTCTTTTTTGCATGCATGCAATCCCTACAGTCTAACTAATCTTTTACTGTTGGGATTTTTTTGCTTTATTAATGTTATTGTTTTGTGTTTGATCTATAATTATTATTGCTACTCCATTGTGTGTGTGTGTGTGTGTTTTTGGGCTACTGTGTGCTTTTCTTTCCACCAATGACAACTTGTCTTGTGCAATGAGAGAAAAAATATATATAACAGATACATTTTTATACATATATTCATAATTAAGTGTACAACGTTTTGCATTGATGGTAGTTGTATTTGGCCGTTTACTGTAGAACATGGGCTACCTGTTAATTTCTTTTTGTTTGATTTACCTTTGTTTGGATTGTTTTGTCCAGAGAGGAAAAGTAAAAGCAAGTATATATAAATACATAATTTCCTACACGTGACCATGGAAAGAAGTACTTTTATAGTACTGTATGTGCTGTGGCAGCTGATTCTGTTTTTTTTAATTTTTTTTGCTTCTTTGATTTCAGGTTGGGGGTCCTCCGCAGTACAGTGGGATGTGTGCATTCTCTTTTTTCTCTGGAGTCGTACTGGTGATTGGTACTGTAAACATGGTTTTTTGTGTGGGACTATTTTCTCTTGTTGTTGTTACGGTTTGTATTATTTCTCTGTTGCACTGTTGTAATCTCTCCTATTTATTTTCCCTTTCCTGTGTTCTTTTTCTTTATTATCTCATCGTTATTATTCTTCCTTTACACATGTAGATGCATCCAAGACGGTTGAGGATGAACTGTCATCCTGAAGGTGGTATAGTGATATCCGGAGAC